TCAAAGCCGGTCTGATTAGCTCCTCGAACGACAGCCGTCTCCACCCATTCAGAACAGTAGCTATTGTCCGCTGCAGGATTTCCCAAGCTGGAACAACTCGAGTGCAGGTACATAATTTGTGTTCTAGTGTTTCTATTGCTTTGTTAGTGCAGTGTAAGCAATACTCGCTGTCAACTCTCCGCATCACAAACCAAAGTTTTCGGTGCTCAACTTTTTCGTTAACTGCAACGTACAGCCTGCTTTTCTGTTCCGATGAAAGATTCTTGAGTCTAATATTCCGCCACGTGCATGGCCAGTCGTTTGTCGGACAGTTTCGTTCCACCCGGGGCTGCTCCGTCTGTGCCACGAAATGCTGGTGGATTTGATCGGCGGAGGGGTTTTGTCGAATCTGAGGGGGGATTTGGGATAAGTTTGAGAGGATCAGTTTCAGGTCGGGGAGGTCTATTGGTATTGCTGGGCGGGGATTTTGCAGAAGAAGGAATTTATAGTAGGGAAGGGATTCGATCTCTTTCAAGTGCCGGTTGATAGCGAGCGACTTGCACTTATACGCCGAAAGTTGCAGCTTTAGTCCACCATGTTCGCGGTTTCGCGCTAATTGTGCCATCGGAACGCGAGCGATCATCCCACTCCAGAGGAAGGTGCCCATCCTCGATGTAATTTTCGCCATGTGTACACTGAATGGTGGTAGAATTGATGAAAGATACCAGATCCTGGAGGTGCCGAACGTATTCAGCAAAGCCACTTTCTGATGCAGAGTCAAAATCCGCGTTGATTGGAGCCATATCAGTTGCGCAAATTTGCTAACCACCGCATCCCAGTTTATGGTCGTCATCAGCCGGATCGAGTTGACGAAAATCACGCCAAGGATCTTCACCGTGTTGGCCGTCCGTAGCCATGGGATGTCGATGCGGTTTCCCTCGCAAAAACCAACATCAATGGCAACAGTTTTCCCCACATTCAGCTTGGCGCCAGCAGCTATCTCGAAACGGGTGAACAGTAGGGTGTTTCATTTTGAAAAAAGTGATGAATTTTTGATAGGCCACCCTCCAGTTCGATTCATAGCCCCAAAATATGAACCTGTGCAAAAAATGGTAAAGATTGATGAAGGTTTAGAGGTCGCGCCAATGATTTGGATTTTGTATGGAGATTTTGGTGAATTAGTATGGGAAATTATTGATTTTCGTTTACATTGCTCTAACTTTGGTTGTAGTTGTCCAAACGTTGAAAAAAAAAATATGTGGTTGTCATGACAATGATCAACAAGCCTGTTGTTGTTGCGATGAAATTGGCGTTGTTGCCTTGTACATATTCATCTGTCAATTTACCCTATTTTGCCATTTTTTCACATTTTTATAATTCTTGATACGCTGCAAAACTGAGCGTAGCAACTGTAGGCTTTTTGTTTATTGCCATAGCAATAACATACTAAATTTTTTCGACATTTGGACAAGTAGAAGCAAAGTTATAGCGATATAAGCGATTTTTTAAATTCTTCCATAGTAATTCCCATACAAATTTCAAATCATTGGCGCGACCTCTAAACCTTCATCAATCTTTACCAATTTTTGCACAGGTTCATATTTTGGGGCTATGAATCGAACTGGAGGGTGGCCCATCAGAAATTCATCACTTTTTTCAGAATGAAGCACCCTAGTGAACAGTATATTCATTGCTTCGATTTGTGCTGCTGTTGTGACGATTACACTGATATCGTCGGCATACGCAACCAGCAGATCATTCCCGCACGCTTGTTCGAGTCTGCATATTAGTGGATGGAGGTACAGCACGAAGAGGTGCATGGACAACGGGTCCCCCTGCCGCACCGAGCGTTGGATGTCGATCGGCCGTGAGAGGTGCCCATTCACGAGCAGGCGAGAGGTGGAGCGACTTGCAATCTGGGAGAGCAGAGTGATGAGATGCTGGTTGAAACCAAGCGAGCGCATGGTCCCGAAGAGGAAAGAGTGCCGGACCCGATCGAAAGCATGATCGAGGTCGAAGCTGATCAGCTTCCCGGTGCGACGATGATGACGGAGGCTCGCAATTCGATCTTTCAGAGCGAGAGTGGCTTGAAAGATGTTTCGATCTGAGTTTGAGCATTTCTGCCCGTCGCTCAATATGCGGTGGGCTCGCATCACATTCTCCAGACGGGTTTTGAGGATACGAGAGAACAGTTTGTAGTCGGTGTTTAGAAGAGATATGGGACGATACGAACGGGCTGTCTCGTCGCCACCCTTCTTTTTCACCAACACGATGATGCCGTCCACAAACGTTGCAGGGAAGTTGCCAGTGAGCGCCTCATTCATCACCAGATTTAGCTCTCGGTGGATGACGTCGAAACAGCGATGGTAAAACTCTTTCGTAATCGCAGCCGGGTGACTTTCGGGATGCGCTAGCTCGTATCGCGGAGAGAATCTCGGTTGTGGTGATCTCGCTCGTGCACGCCTCATTTACCGGGTCGTTGGGTGGTATGGCGTTCTCGCAGTCGAAAGTGTTCCCAATGTGTTCAGAATGTTCATAATCACTTCGGATACTTAGAAATGATCTGAAAAATTTTGAATCACTTCAGATAAGTTTGAACTCGTTTTGGAAAGCTTGAATCAGCTCAGTAAAGCATGGATTTGCTTCGGAAAAGTATGAACTAACTTAGAAGGGTATTAGATCTAATCTAAGTGAAGTTTACTGGATATTTTTCTAAATTGATCAATTTCTATTCTGAAGATCTTCAACTCAAAAAATCTAATTTCATCTCTCAGATATTTTTACAAGATGGCTCTTAGAGTGATGCAAAATTTGAAATTTTTGCTCCACAATACTTAAACGATTTCAAATCGGATCCTGACTAACCTCCCAAAACTTGAACCCATTTGGTTTGAAACTGAGATGGCACAAACCATTTGAAGTTTGTATGGGAATTACTATGGTATAACCAAGATTTTTGTTCATGTCTATCTAATAATTCACCATATCGGTCTGCTTCAAAAACTGTCAACTGTTCTTGTAGGAAATTTTCCCAGCTACAACTTTGCTGAGGACCACTTTTTGATTAAATGCAAGAATCGAAAGTTATCAATGGTTCAATGCGCTGATGTCTTATGATCATGCTCAATCAACTGCTCAGCAGGCAACATTGGTGTTTCTGGGGCGTTGAATAGGACACCAAAATCATGGCTACTATGTCACACTGCAAAATACAGTGTTGCCTACAGAGCAGCTGCTTGATCATGTCATAAGTTTACCAATCTCTTAAATAATTATTAACTTTTTCCTGTCTCGTTTTACATAGAAATGATCTTCAGCAAAGTTGTAGCTGAGAACATTTTCTATAAGAATGGCTATCGAACTGTTTCGCAGCTCAATATGGAAAAAGACTAGAAGGCAATGAACAATTCCCATTTCCCATAGTAATTTACATGTAAACTTCAAATGGCTTGTGCGAAGTCTGTTTCTAACCAAATAAGTTGTAACTTTGGGAGGCTAATCAGGACCCGATTTGAAACCATTCAAGCACTGTGGAGCGAAAAACGTCAAATTTTGCATCAGTCTAATGGCTCATTGAACAAAAATTATACAAAAGACTTCCAGCAAATTGAAGATCCAATTTAAATGTTCTGGTTAGATTCTCAAAACTTCAGATTTATCAAGTACTTTCTCAAAAGACTTCATTGAAGACCTTTGGATAATTTTCAAACCTTCAGGATTATCAAAAAATCTAATTTTGTCTCTCAGATATGTTCGCAAGATAGCTCAAGAAGAAATTAAAAGACATCCAGATATATTTTTTCTTTTCAAAATTTCAAATGAAAAAGTATTATTCTGAAGATCTACAACAGTTCAAAAACTCTTATTTCGTTTCTTAGATATTCTCGCAGGATTACTGATTGATCCAAACAAATTTCAAAAGACCTCCAGCTTATCTAAGATCTCAGTGAAAAGCTCTAATTTTTTTTAAGACTTCGCTTTTATCAAGAACTTGTCTAAAGGTCTCCAACTATTCAACAAATCTAATTTGGTCTCGCAGCTATTTTCTAAAGACGCCTGATTGAACAAGAATTATTCAAAAGACATCCAGCTAATCGAGATGTAACAGTAGGGTATAAGTTGCTGAACGAAATGTTATTGAGATAAGCTGCTAATGTCTGCTAACCTGCAAGGTACACTCCCTTAAAGATAGTGTTAAAAATTTATAAAATCAGATGTAAAGTAAATCCTTAATACGAAGAGATTCCGACTTATTTCCTTTTAATTTCGTCCCACTGTCTATTTACTTCTTGATGAAAAAATATAAATTTTGAGCCGTCGGACGGTACCAGTACATGAGGTTTTGAAAGTGTCCTGTTGAGCCCAATACAAACCGGTGCCAGGTAGCATAAATGGCCTAATAGAGGAAATCCTTGTAAGGGTGCTTTACATTTGAGGCCAATAGAGTAAAAACCGCTTCAAACATGATTTTTTTGGGATCGAGTTGCAGTTTGATTCTTGTTTGTCTCGCTAATGCACAATGTGTAACTTTTTCTTAATTAAGGAAGATTAAGATCTTTTAACTCAACTTAAGTTCTGATAACTTTTGTTAAATTTCTGCAATTTTCCTGAAATTAATGGGACTGCCCCGAAGCACTTTGACCTTCACTGAACTTCTATAAATTTTGGTGAAATCTACCGAACTGCCCTGAAGCTATCAGTCCGACGCCGACTCCGAGTCCACCGACAAAGGATGCATTTTAGCCTTGAATCATTTCAAAAGATCTTTTGTCGAACTGAAATTCGAACCATGAACCCGTTTTCGCAACTGCATGGCGTCAGAGCACGCGCGCAGCTGTCAACCGAAATTTACAGTCGCGTTCCCATTTTAGGAAGAATACATCTGAAACTGTAACAATGGTTCCCATTCACTGATGTCGGGACACATTTCGACACTGGCAAACAGAATGCTCCATTTCTAGAATGATCGCACATTCATTCGATATAAATAGGGCGATCGATAGAACCATCAGGCAGTTCAAGTTGTGTAACCAAAGCTTCAATACCAAACTCTCAAGATGAAGACTCTGCTGATCGTTGGATTGGGCCTGTGCCTGTTGGGCGTCACCGTTGCCGAGCCGCAATTGCTGGGTGGTCTGACCGGCCTGCTATCGGGTACCGTGTCCGGATTGCTGAGCACTGTGCAGAGCACCCTCTCAACGCTAACAGGCCTAGTCAGCCAAATCAACACCGCTCTTACCAGTGCCATTAGCAGTGGAAATGCTGCCCTAACCGCGGCCCTGGCTCAAGCCCAAGCCGCTGCCGCCACTGTCCAATCGACTCTGAGCAGTGTTCTCAACTCAGGACTCACCTCCGGAGTGTCTTCGCAGCTTAGCACCTTGACCACCCAGGTGTCGGATGCCATCAACAACTTGAACTCCATCGTCAGCCAGGTCGTGGCCGCCGGAAGCTCTGTCCCGTCGACGCTGATCAACGAACTGAACACCGCTACGGCCAATGTTGCCAGCCTCGCCTCGTCTGCTGCGTCTCAAGTCACATCCCTGGCCGGCTCTGCTCCAGGACTGCTAGGTGGTCTGCTGGGTGGTCTGCTTGGTTAAACTGCTCGATATATTGAAGTCGGAAATAATGATAAATAAACTAATAATTGGCATTTAAAATCTCGTTGTTTTGTTTGTTGTGAGACAAATTCGTGGTCTGATGGGTGGGTACAACATATGTACGGTCGGTCTGATGGATCAATGACGGATGATAATCCGAGCTTTCGCCATTGTATTCGCCATACCAGCGCTTCTCAAGGTTTTATTCGTTACGATAACCCGGATAGCGATATAGCATTTCTGCTAAGGAAATACGGTGATGTGAAGCGTGTCAAACATTCCCAGCCGCCTTGTGCCACGATATGCTGACAGGTGTACGGGGAATTTACATGGACGTTAAAACGAGATTCCCAACTCGCTGCATTTGTTCAATCGGAAGGGGAACATATTCTACCAAGGGAACCTAAACTTGTGTTTCCTTTGCAAGATGGAGGGGCATTGGGTGAATTCCTGCTCCAAGCGGGAGGAAAGCAACAACAGGAAGAGGAAACCAAATAACGGAACGAAGATGGAACCAGTGCCAGTGACTGGAGGTGTATCGCCAAACGAGGAAACGGTAGAGCTCCTGGAAGAAGAGGTTTGGTGATGGATGCCGAGAAAAATTATACTACTACAAAGTCGGAATAGTGACCTATACCGAGAAGGATCGGAGACTCCGATTCCACCGACAAAGGATTTTAGGCATTTTAGCCTTGAATCATTTCAAAAGATGTTTTGTTGAACTGAAATTCGAATTATGAACACGTTTTCGCAACTGCATGACGTCAGAGCACGCACGCAGCTGTCAACTGAAATGTAAGGTCGCGTTCCCATTTCAGGAAGAATACATCTGAAACTGTAACAATGGTTCCCTTTGAATGATGTCGGGACAAATTTCGACACTGGCAAACAGAATGCTCCATTTCTAGAATGATCGCACATTCATTCGATATAAATAGGGCGATCGATAGAACCATCAGGCAGTTCAAGTTGTGTAACCAAAGCTTCAATACCAAACTCTCAAGATGAAGACTCTGCTGATCGTTGGATTGGGCCTGTGCCTGTTGGGCGTCACCGTTGCCGAGCCGCAATTGCTGAGTGGTCTAACCGGCCTGCTATCGGGTACCGTGTCCGGATTGCTGAGCACTGTGCAGAGCACCCTCTCAACGCTAACAGGCCTAGTCAGCCAAATCAACACAGCTCTTACCAGTGCCATTAGCAGTGGAAATGCTGCCTTAACCGCGGCCCTGGCTCAAGCCCAAGCCGCTGCCGCCACTGTCCAATCGACTCTGAGCAGTGTTCTCAGAGCAGGACTCACCTCCGGATTGTCGTCCCAGCTTAGCGGTTTGACGTCTCAGCTGTCGGGTGCCATCAACAACTTGAACTCCATCGTCAGCCAGGTCGTGGCCGCCGGAAGCTCTGTCCCGTCGACGCTGATCAACGAACTGAATACCGCTACGGCCAATGTTGCCAGCCTCGCCTCGTCTGCTGCGTCAGCTGCGTCTGGTGCGTCTCAAGTCTCAAGATTTTTGTTCTAGCTCCCTTAATCTGCACGCCGTGCAATCTAAAACTAGCTCAAACGTAATCTAGCACATGGAATAGAGTAAAGTGAAATGGAACGCAAAATCCAAACAAAACAGCAAATAACGCTACCAGAAATTCTAATGTCTGATGTCATAGGGTTACTAGAAGTTCAAATAAAAAATGAACCCCGTTAATATGCAGTTTTGTTCTAAATTTGAGAAACATGCGATTAGAACCATTTACTCAGAATCTGAGTAGATTCTAGTCATCATAACAACACTGGTTTACCCAGATTTTGACAACTCCTTACTGCACATAAGAATGGGTACCATCAACTTAGTCTCTGGGTAGAATCAGAATAGCGTGGAGAAAAAGTGAATCCTTCTCAATTTAGAATTGTTTTGGTGGACCGTGTACCGCATGTACAACCAACAATCAATACGAAACTACTTGACTAGCCTATTGGTCCCAAGCAAATCGATTAACGTACCCATTCTAGTCGAAATTCTAGTACTACACTATGTTTGTTTTGATTCGTTATGAAAGTTTGACAGATAAAATGAGGGGCTCGTGGATTTTCCCATGTTTCGAGGAGTGCATCAATTAGCTTGGGACCGAAGATAGTACCAGAGCTGAGCCAAAAAGTTGAGCACGTTTCTTCAAGACCTTCTGGTCTTAGAGTTACCTCTATGGTACAACCATAGAGGTAACTCTAAGACCACTGGGTCCCGAAGAAAATCATTATTATTTTTGGCTCACTCAGTACCAGAACAACGGTCCCAAGCAGTCCCAATTTATTTCACTCACCCCTGCATGTTCTGCATGAATCCACACACCCCTGATGTTATCTGTCAAACTTTCATAGCGAATCAAAACAAACATAGTGTAGTAATAGAATTTCAACTAGAATAGGGTTCGTTAATCGTTGCTTGGGACCAATAGGCTACTAAAGTGGTGAGCCAATTTAAAATCGTTAGTTTCGTATTGATTGTTGGTACAACTGTCAATTTATCTAATAGCTAAACATCGAAAACTGAGCTTTCTGGATCATTTCATTAATACCTATCAGCTATCTACTTATGGACCGGGGACCAACAGCTTTACTTCCCTCAGATAATCCCGACGGCGCCGACTGGGATTGTGCTCAAACCCTTTGGAGTGATAGGCAGTCACGTTTTCACACCACCAGCGCCGTTAACATTCGAACTTTTGTCCTTCGACCTTTCGTCCTTCGACCTTTCGTCCTTCGACCTTTCGTCCTTCGACCTTTCGTCTTTCGACCTTTTGTCATTTGACTTTTTGTCTTTCGAACCTTTTGTTATAGTTTCCGACCTTTTGTCCCTTTTTGGACCATTCGACTTTTTGTCCTCCATATCATCATTCGATCGTTTGTCCCTTTTTGGACCATTCGACCATTTGTCCATTCGACGTTTTGTCCTCAATCTCATCATTCGACTATTTCTATATAGAGCTGGAATTAGGGCGTAACAGCCTTTGCAAACAATGACTTATCTCGTTGATTTCTCGATATTTAAGGCACGCCTACACAAACCATCATATCCATCGGGTAGGAGAAGTCTTCCTATACTCGATGGTGATGTCGATTTGCCAGGGAGAACCATGGCTTTCGAGAAATCATCACGAGTAGTCATTGTTTACAAAAGCTGTTACGCCCTAATTCCAGTTTTATCTAGATTTGTTTCCCCTTGCATCATTCGATCTTTTGCCAATCGACCTTTTGTCACTCGACGTTTTGACTTTCGACCATTGTCCATTCGACTCGTTATTCCCCCCACTATCCATTCGACCTTTTGTCCTTCAACATTTTGTCCTTTGACATTTTATCCTTCGACCTTTTGTCCTTCGACCTTTTGTTATATATTCCGCTGTTTTGTATCTTTTTGAATCATTTGACCATTTTTCAATTCGACGATTTGTCCATTCAACCTTTTGTCCCTCTTCGCATCATTCGACCTTGTGTCCCTTCGGCATTTTGTACCTTTGACCTTGTGTCCATTCGACCTTTTGTCCTTTCGATCATGTGTCCAGCAACCGTTCAAACCAATCCCCCAGTGTCAACTAGCGGGAACCAAATTGTATTTACAAGCATCTATATATTTTCTATATTCTATATCATGAAAGAGGGCGCATGCACAGGCGTAACTAGAATGTTGTACTAGAAGGGGTCATGGCAAAAGATGTACAAGATGTACAAACTGAGTTTTTACAGAAGTTCAGAGACCTTCTTCGAAATAAATGGAAATTCGTAGAAGCTTTGACTGAAAAATGGATTTCAGGGAACCTCGAAGATTGGTGGGAATCTTTTTAAAAGTTTTGGGAATGTAATATAACTTCAAGAAACCTCATAAATCTTCAGAAATTTCATAGCACCTTAGAACACACTGGGGCCTCCCTTAGCTCAGTCGGTGAAGGCGCAGCTACAAAGCAAGACCATGCTGGAGGTGGCTGGGTTCGATTCCCGGGCCGGTCTAGCTATGTTTCGGGTTGGAAAATTTCTCGACTTCCCTGGGCATAGAAGTATGATTGGACTTACCACACAATTATACCAATGCAAAAATGGTACAGGCATCGAAAGCTCTCAATTAATAACTGTGGAAGTGCATCTCGAACACTAAGTTGGGAGCACGCAATAAGCTAACATACGATATGCAATAAGCTTGAAATGCGAAGAATAAGAATAAGAAGAAGAAAACTTTTCAGAACTTCAGGAACTGCATAGAAGTTCTGGAGATTTTCTAGAAGTACTACAAATTTTATAAGAGATTAGCTATTAGTGTAAAAGCTCGGCGAACTTCATAGAAATCCTGTGAACGTAATAGAAATCCAAGTTATGTAGTAGAGCTTCATCAAAAATTTGAGATGGAATAAAGGTTGAACACGAAAAAAAATCCGGACGCATTAAAAACGATGCCATGAAGGCATTTTTTGAGTTAAATTTTAAAAATTTCACTGAAGCAAGCTAAGAGTGTATAGAATCACAGGAGGCATTGGTTGTCGGGATAAGTTCATTTGTTTACATCATGGCTTTACCGGAGCTATAACGTCGCAATTCGATCCTGCACGCTCGAAATGAAAATCCCGGTCTATCCGCTCCTGACAGTTTTTGAGTCCCGGAAGAATGTAAAATCAAAAAGAAGCCGCAATTCCTCAAAAAGCTCCTTGTCTGGCAAGCAATTTGCAGTTGTGTAAAAAGCAAAACTTTCGTTACTTCTGGGACCGTGAACAAGAAAAATTTACCAGAACGAGTGTCTACGGAGGATACTACCAACCGATGGAAGCTGACGATTTTAAATTGGCTCACTATTTGACTAGCCTATTGGTCCCAAGCAAATCGATTAACGTACCCCATTCTAGTCAAAATTTTAGTACTACACAATGTTTGTTTTGATTCGCTATGAAAGTTTGACAGATAAAATGAGGGGTTCGTAGATTTTCCTATGTTTCGAAGGGTGCATCGATTAGCTTGGGACCGAAGATAGTACCAGAGCTGAGCCAAA